CTACTACTACTAGTAGTACTACGACTACTACTACTACCACCACCACTACTACTAGTACTACTACTACTACTACTACTACTACTACGACTACTACTACGACCCCGATTACTACTACGACTGCTGTTGGTTACACGATTACTACGATTCATATTTTTACATATTTCTACTACTAGAGTACGCCTACCACTACTTTTACTTATACTTATAACTACTATGACTACTCCTACTACTCCTACTACTCCAACTACCACCACTACGTATGCCACCACTTGTGCTACTACCAGTGCTTTTGCTGAACTACTTCCGCGATTACGACTGTTACTAATATTATTACCACTACTACGACGACGATTACGACTGCGACAACAATTACTACTACTACTATTATTCCTACTACTACTACTACTACTACTACTACTACTGCTACTACTACTACTACTACTACTACTACTACTACTACTACTACTACTACTACTACTACTAACTACTAACTACTTACTACTTACTACTTACTACTTACTACTTACTACTATTACTACTACTACTACTACGACTACTACGACTACTACGACGACGACTACTGCTACTACTACTACTACTACGACTGCTACGACTACTACTATTACTAGTACGAGTACTACCATTATTTCTGCTACTACCACCACTGATACGCCTACTCTTACCACCACTCTCACGATTGTTACTGCTTACTCGTACGATTACGACTGCGATTACGACTACAGCTACCTCCATTACCATCACCAGGACTACGACTATTACTCCTCCTACTACTACTACTACTACTACTACTACTACTACTACTGCTGCTGCTACTACTACTACTACGACTACGCTACTACTACTACTACTATACTACTACTACTACTACTACTACTACTACTACTACTACTACTACTACTACTACTACCACCACTACTACTACTACTACTACTACTACTGCTACTACTACTACTACTACTACTACTACTTACTGACTACTACTCTACTATACTACTACTACTACTACTACTACTACTACTACTACGACTACTACTACTACTACTACTACTACTACACGACTACTATACTACTATACTAATACTTACTACTACTACTACTATACTACTACTACTACTACTACTACTACTACTACTACTACTACTACTACTACTACTACTACTACTACTACTACTACTACTACTACTACTACTACTACACTACTACTACTACTACTACTACTACTACTACTACTACTACTACTACTACTACTACTACTACTACTACTACTACTACTACTACTTACTACTACTACCACCTAGTATTACATCGACTACTACGGCTACTACGATTATTGTTACTACGACTATTCGTATTATTATCTTGCACAGGTGTGCTCTAGAGCTCGGACATCTTTATGTTCGTGTCGTGTCGTGTCGTTCGTCCCCCTGCCCCCCCCCCGTCCAGGCTCCCCAGGGCAGCACCCCTGGGCCTCGGACATCTTTATTTTCGTGAAGTGTCGTGTCGTTCGTCCCCCTGCCCCCTCCCCCTGCTCCTTCCCCCGCCCAGGTTTCCCAGGCCAGCCCCCCTGAGCCTCGGACACCTTTATTTTCGTGTCGTGTCGTGTCGTTCGTCCCCCTGCCCCCCCGCCTGCCCCTCCCAGGCCCAGCTCCCCCGCCAAGGCTTCCCAGGGCAGCACCCCTGGGCCTCGGACATCTTTATTTTCGTGTCGTGTGACCACCTCTGCCGAGGTGGTCAGGCCACTTTCGTCTGAGACAATTGCCGAACTCTGCCTCGGAGGTGCCTTGCCCCATGATGGTCCGGCCACTTCCGCCTGAAACCATCGCCATTCTAAGTTGCGGGATGCCCTGAGCTGGTGGTCTGGCCACTGCCGCCTGAGACATCCTCACAACTCTGACCTCTTGGGGGCTCTTGGGGAGCCACTGGGGCACTCTTGGCCAGGGCCCAGAAACAAAACCAGGCCAGGGCCCAGAAATCGTCGTCGTCGTCGTCCTCCTCCTCCTCCTCCAGTTTCTTCCTGGCTCCTCGAAGACCCCTCCTGGAAGAAGGAGGCGGGGGCCTCCTGTCCTTCGCAACTCCTTTGTGCAAGAGCCAGGGCACGCGTGCCACTTGTTTTCGCTGCTACTACTACTACTACTACTACTACTACTACTACTACTACTACTACTACTACTACCACTATTGCTACCACTACTGCCACTGCTACGATTAACTTCTTTACATACCTACCTACCTACCAACCTACCTACCTACCTACCTACCTATACTACTACTACTAGTACTACTACTACTACTACTACTACTACTACTACTACTACTACTACTACTACTACTACTACTACTACTACTACTACTACTATACTACTACTACTACTACTACTACTACTACTACTACTACTACTACTACTACTACTACTACTACTACTACTACTACTACTACTTAACTACTACTACTACTACTACTACTACTACTACTACTACTACTACTACTACTACTACTACTACTACTACTACTACTACTACTACTACTACTACTACTACTACTACAACACTACTACTACTACAACAACTACGACGACGACGACTACTACTACTACTACTACTACTACTACTATTACTACTCCTGCTGATATTACCAGCTAGTACTACTACTACTACGACTACGACTACGACTACTACTACTACTACTACTACTACTACTTTTACTACTACTACTATTACTACTACTACTACTAGTACTACTGCTACCACTATTACTACTACTACTACTACTACTACTACTACTACTGCTATTACTACTACTACGACTACTACTACTACTACTACTACTACCATTACTACCATTACTACTACTACTACTACTACTACTACTACTATCACTACTACTACTACTACTACTACTACTACTACTACTATAGTACTACTACTACTACTACTACCACTACTACTACTACTACCATTGCTGCGACTATTGCTATTACTACTACTACTACTATTACTACTACTACTACTACTACTACGACTACTACTACTACTACTATTACTACTACTACTACTACTACTACTACTACTACTGTCTTTAGTATTACTACTTCTACTAAAACTGCGGCTACTACGATTATTACGGCTACCAGTAGTAGTAGGTATGATTATCACGGCTACTACGATCACTATTACTTTTGGTACTACTACAACTACTACTACTACGACTACTACTACTACTACTACTACTACTACTTGTACTACTACTTTTACTACTACCACTACTTTTACTATTACTACTACTACAACTATTATCACTACTACTACTACTACTACTACTACTACTACTACTACTACGGGTACTACTACTACTACCACTACTACAACTGCTACTACAACTATTACTAGCATTACTACTACTACTACTACTACTACTACTACTACTACTACAACTACTACTACTACCACTACTACTACTTCTACGACTAGTACTACTACTACTACTATTACTACTACTACTACTACTACTACTACTACTACTACTCCTTATAATATTACTACTACTACGAATACTTGTATGACCACCACGACGTTGACCACTTCTACCTCTATTACTACTACTACTACTACTACTACTACTACTACTTCTACTACTACTAGTACTACTACTACGACTACCGCGACTGCTACTACTACTACTACTACTACTACTACTACTACTTCTACTACTACTACTACCACTAGTATTTTTTATTACTACTACCACTACCACTACCACTTGGACTACTATGACCAATATTATTACTAGTATCGCGAGTACTACCACTACTACCTTTTCCCCAGTTAGCACCAGTACTGTGACTGCTACTACTAGCCCGGCTACTTCTATTATACTCTTATTATTATTACTACTACTACTACTACTGCTAGTACTAGTACCAGTACTACTACTACTACCACCACCACCACTACTACTATTACTACTACTACTACTACTACTACTACTACTACTACTACTACTACTACTACTGCTACTTCCACTACTACTACTACTACTACTACTACTACTACTACTACTACCACCACCACCACCACCACTACTACTACTACTACTACTACTACTACTACTACCTCTTCGACTACCACTACGATGTCACGCACCCCTACTCCTACTCCCACTCCTACTCCTACTCCTTTTACTCCTTCCTCTTACTTATACTCCTCCTCCTTCTCCTACTTATTCTGTTCCTCCTCCTCGTCCTCCTTCTACTTCTCCTCCTAGCCCCTCTTTCCTCGAGAGGATTGGGCGCGCGCGCCTGAGAGGGGCGAAGCGGGCCCGAGTCGCACCGCGGGACATGGTGGCGCCGGCCTGACCAATGGCCGCCAGAACAAGGCGACCAAACCCAGGAGTCGTTTCGGCAAGGTCGCAATCGCGAAGGGCGGTGTGTTGATCAAGACCCGCCAAAAGAAGGCGATCAAGGCCGGGAACCGTTTCGGCAAAGTCGTCATCGCGAAGGGCGTTGCGATGCACCAGACCCGCCAGAAGAAGTCGACCAAGGCCGGGAACATGTCCGGCAAAGTCGTCAACGTAAAAAGCGCTGCGTGAGCAAGACCCGCCAGAAGAAGGAGACCAAGGCCGGGAATCGTTTCGGCAAGTCGCCAATTTCGATGGCCAAGCCTTGAGAGGGGCGTCGGGCCCTGGGGGGAACCGCTTCCCACCCCATCCCGACGCCTCGCGGGGCGTTCTCGCGTCTGGTAGCCCTTGGGGGCCCTCTCTCGCCCGTTGGCGCCCTTCGTGGGCCGCAGCTGGGCCTCGCGGCTTGGCGCTGCCGCGTCGGGCTAAAGGGTCGGGGGCGGTTCGCCCCCCTGGCCGTAGCCCGCGCGGCGGGGGCGGGGAGAGCCCGCCCGCGTCATCTGAGCCCTCAGAGCCCCTCCTCTTCCTCTTCTTCCTCCTCCTCTTCATCCTCCTCCACCACCCGTAGCCCTTTCCCTGGCCGCAGGCAGCTGCCGAGGCCGAGGGGACGCCGAGGCGGGCCCTCCTGCGGGCCGCGGCCGAGGACGGCGGGGAGGCCCCGTCTGCTCGGGAGATGCCACCGCCCCAGATCTGGACTGCGCAAGAAAATCGCATCGGTCGATTGCGAGGGCCTCATCGTTGGCGCAGCCGCCCCTGAATAGGGGACGACGCGGACGTGGGCCAGAGTCCCCTGGGATGGTGTTTGGGGGTCTCTCTGGGGCGTTCGCCCCACATTTGTGCGGCGCACGCCAAACTCGCATCGGTCGATGTTCTCGCGCTTTTTCGAAGAAAAGCTGCATCTGCATAAATTCAAGTCGGGCCGGTCCCTTGACAGGAGGAATATTTCAAAATTTGTCAAATAATAGTACGGGGGCTATTTTGGTGTATTTGTGTGACTATGTTAGTGTATTTTTTTTTGGGGGGGGAGGCATTTAAAATTTGTCGCCCAAAATCCGCCTGTAGGGGGGCACGCCCGACCTAAGCATAAATTGGCGTCGCTGCGCGCAGATTTCTTGGATCGACGTTGGACCCCCGTGGCGGCGCCTCAGGCCCAGCGCCGGTCCAAGAGTTTCGCGCGGTCCCCCGAAAATTGATTTGTACGGCATGTATCGTTCTTCCGTGTTCCTCCTCAGGAGGCCGCCGCCTCGGCCCCAGGACCCTCAAAAAACGATTCGGGCCAGGCCCGGGATCATTTGGGGCCACTTTGGGGCCGCCTGCGGCCAACCTGAGGCGTGCCTCCCGTTGGTCCCCGTTCCTGGACTGGCTCTTTTGGAGGTATCATGTGCCTCTTTCGGGGCGCGGATGGGGATCCTCGAAGCAGAGGTACAGAAGGGGGGGCAAGGGAGGACGGGAGAACGCACCAGAATTTGTGAGCAGCGCGTGTTTCATTCGAAAAAAGAACCAACCAGAGGAGGTGGTGGGACCAATGTGGAATGTCCGCGAGCCCCCGTACGAATCTCTGTGAGCCCCAATGCCGAACATGGGCAAACCAGTTGAAGGTTCTCACGTTTTCTGGCTGAAAGCAGCAGTACGGTTCCAACGCCAGAGGATGTTGCCAACGACCGGGTGGCGACGACCCCGCCTGTTCGGTTGCGCGGGCGCAGAAGAACGGAAAAATCGCAGATAGGTTGTTCTTGAAGCTGGGCGGATAGCTTGCGCGATTGCTTACCAGCAAATACAGGCGGACGGACACGAGACTATATATGGTCCCGGGCTCCCGGCCCACGCCCCCCCCCAGATGGTATGGTCCCAGGATTCCTCGGGCCCCCCCCCCAGATGGTATGGTCCCAGAGACGACGACGACGACGACGACGACGACGACGACGACGAGGACGACGACGACGACGACGACGACGACGACGACGACGACGACAGCTACGACTACGACGACGGCGACGGCGACGACGACGACGACGACCACGACGACGACGACGGCTGTGGCGGCGACGACGCCGGCGGCGGCGGCGACGACGGCGACGACGACGATGACGACGGCGACGACGGCGACGACGACGACGACAACGACGACGACGACCTCTGAACCACCACAGCACCACACCACATCCACAGGGGGGGGGAGGGGGGCACCGCAGCGCAGCACCACGCCACGCCCACCTCTGAACCACCACAGCGCCACACCACATCCACAGGGGGGGGCGGGGGCACCGCATCGCAGCACCACGCCACGCCCACAGGGGGGGGAGGGGGGGACCATCGCGCGGGGGGGGGGGCCAATGGCATCAGCATTGGGGGGGGGCCCAAGCCCTGGACCATATATAAGCCTGTGGGCGAAAAACCGAAAGAGGGAGGAGGTGCCGTACGACCGCCCAGAGTAGCCGTGGGCCAGCAACCGTTTCCACTTCAAGACGTGGCGGCTCCACGGTGCTAGAGGCACGCTGTTGCGACAGGCTACGGACGTCCCAGACTGAGGAAGATGACGGCTGATATCCATCCAGACGCTGACCCAGACGTCCAGCGTGTGGACCTCTGTTGATGCGTGGGCCCCCGGACCTCGCCACCCTTTTCTTCCTCCTCCTCCTCCTCCTCCTCCTCCTCTCCTCCTCCTCCTCCTCCTCCTGGGGCCAGCTGTTCGTCCTGAGTCGTTCCCCGACGGCCCTGGGACCCGAAATCGGCTACCGTAAGACCACAAACAGCGACAC